GTAAAAAAGTTTATAAATTTTAATATTTTAATTTTTTTTGAATTTTTAATCAAATGATTTATAACATCACAAATATTTATGATTTATTATGAAACACAAGTATAGAAATAAGCATTCACTTTTATCTAAAAATAATTTCTTACTTATTTTCTAATTTACACTTATTATTAACTATAATTATCTTTAATTTATTTTTACCATATTAAATTTATTATATTAAAAAATAATTTTATTTACTACTTAAATAATGTAAATCAACATACAAAACAAATTAAAAATTGACAGAGTAATTTAAGTCAATATATGTTATTTTGTTATCTCAATTTATGTTATACGAATAAAATTTAGAGAGTCAATCAAATATTTTAGAGTATGTTTTAAATATATTTTAAGTTATTAATTATTATAATCTATTGCACTTTTTTTTTTTAAAATCATTTTCAAATAATGTGTGTTACTCTTTTCCTCCCAATTTTTCTGACACAGTAAAATTTGAAAGGTCAACCTAAATTATATATTTTTTTATGAATAGATAAAAAAAAAAAATATTCTTAAATAACAGACAAATAAAATTAAATAAGGAGAATGTTTATTTATGACAGTAAAAAAGTAATAAGTACTTAATATTCAGTGGGACCCATGTATTATGACATTAATGAAAAAACAAAAAAGTAGGACCCATCATATTCTTTAATAACAGGCATGGTTTATAAATAAATAGAAAATGATAGACTTTTTAAAGAGCTTTTGTTGAGGTTCAAATAACAAAGCAAGAAGTACAATTTTTCTAAGCAAGTTTATCATGCAATTTTGTTGTGTCCCTTCTATATAAGCAAGGGGAAATGATCAAATTGCCCTTAAACTTTTCTAAATATGAAAAAAAACAGTAATGTTGAAAGTTTGAAAACTCTCCCTTCTATATAATAGAAATAATATAATATATATATATATATATATATATATATATATATATATATATATATATATATATTAGAAAATAAAAAAATACACACACCCCAATCCACAAAAAATAAACCTTTCCTATATTTACTTGCTGTTTCCTACACTTTTTCAACATATATGTATAATTAATACGTAGCATCCACCATGAGCTCAAGTATTACTAATTAAACTTGTTCCTAAATTTCATTTTGATACTTTAATTTAATCTTGTTTCATTTTAACCCTTCAATTCTAATTTTTATGTTTTATTTTGACACTTCTTTTCAAAGAATCAACAAAGTGGGATGTGTGTACTTCACATGTCATGACATGACACAAAAACCAATTTAAAACACATACACGACTCCTCTAACTTGCCTCCATTTTTCATTTTGTCATGCTAACTTAACCTTGTTCTATTTTAATCTTTCAACTCTATTTTATATAGTATCATTTAAACACAAAATACTAAATTTATGATTTCTTCATTTCCACTTTTCATTTTAAAAATCAGCGTTAAATTTTTAAAATAATAATAATAATGGATGAACATCATTTAAAAAATAATAACATTTTTTTTAGAGTTATCGTACATTATTGTGAGAAAAAATAATCGACGAAAGTGTGTTGATTTTCTTTTTAAAATAATTAATTGAATTAAATAACACCACATATTTTTTTTTTCATATCTAGATTATTTGGACTAACTCAAATATCAGCTTTCTAATTTTTCATTCAACTAAATACGGGTAAGAAAAACTCATGCTCATTGCTAATTAATAACACTACATAAAAATGTTGAAACTTGATAGACTTCGTTGGATTGTCATTGATTTTCTTAAGAAAGAAAATCCACGTACTTTTGTCGGTTATTTTTCACGCAAAAATATAGGAAAACTCTTAAAAATAAATTGTTACTTTTTTAAAAAATAATCAATCATCATCCGTCAATTTTATTTTTTTACAATAACTAACGGATGAACGCCGATTTTTAAAATGCAAAATTGCAGTTGAATAACATATATATAGAAACAATGAAATCATAAAATTAGTATTTTGTGTTAAATGATACATAAAAAAACATAGAGTTGAAGGGTAATCTTTTAATATATTTTTTTAAAAATACTTTGTTTTGTCTTTCTCTCTTTCTCTTAGAGAAAGTGTGATGCACACACTCTGCCACATCACTTAGAAGTGTCAAAATGGAACATAAAAATTGGAGTTGAAGAATTAAAATAGAACAAGATTGAGTTGGAGTGCCAAAATGAAATTTAGGGACAAGTTTAAGGGTCTCTATATTTGTTTGGCCAAAAATAAACCTTTCCTATATTTACTTGCTGTTTCCTACACTTTTTCAACATATATGTATAATTAATACGTAGCATCCACCATGAGCTCAAGTATTACTAATTAATACACCCTATTCTTATACACTTTTTTATTGTTAAAATGAAATGATGACCTAAAACTAAGATCATTTGAAATGAAGTTAGCATATCATTTCTTGGGGTTCTTGCACACTTACCAAAATATGAGCTATATTCCGTCTTATGAGAATTGTTTATTTAAATAATCAGTACAAAATATATAAAAAAAACTTTTGGTATTATTTATTCCTACTTAGTTAGTAGAGTGACATTGTTTTTGTCTTTAGTTGTCATTTGAAACCTTTTCCACAGTATAAAATTACAATATGGCCAGTTGCTTGTATGGGTGTTGGCCAACAATTCTTTTTTTTTTTCTACTTGTACCCAAATCAAGCAATAAAAATTATCAAGTACTTGCTATTCACTTTAATTTGTATATATATATGGAGATGATTCGTTATTTTTGCGATAGTCATATCAATATATTACAATTTTTTCTTGCTTTAATTAGTTGGTGTTTGAATGAGTGGTATGCTAGTATTAAAAACGGAAATGGTAATATTTCTAAAAATGTGGCAACTCTTAAATAAAAGTATAATAGTAATTGAGCAAGTGAATTGTTGTATGTTGTCTTTGTTAAAAAGAGAGATCCCAAGTTTATGGCATGTGAAAAATAAAAAAAGAACAAAGACATATAGAGGGAGGGAAAATAGTATGTATGATTGAAACACGAATTTTAATCGAAGGGGCCAAAGTTTATTGTCATGATATCACAATTATTGAATATTCTTTGACAACAATTTATAATTGAAGGAATGATGTGATTTTGGAGCCCACTTATTTTTGTGGTTATTGTTACAAAAATCCTACTTTTCAAAAGGAGTCAAGTGTGTAGTGTAAGAGTTAGGTAATCCTCCAGCCTCCTGATATGATACCCAAGTTGAAAAATTGCTCTGATGATCAGAACAACAATTAATGTAATGTCCTACCTACCATTCTCTCAAATATCAAATCATTTTAAAAAAAAGTGATATAAGTGTCTATTATATTCGTGGAAAAGAGCTGATTCAATAGACAAGTCGGGAAGAGCTTTTCAAATCCTATCGGAACGACCACAACTCTTGACGCATGCAAGTGGCAACATTATTTTTATATTTCATATGATTGATCATATGTCATCCATCTTTAATTTCTGCCTAATTTTTACTCTATCCTTGTAATTTTAGTATACTCTCTTTTTAGTCATGTGCACATATTAATTATTCTTGATAATTTGATATGCATATGCCAATAATAATAACTACCTGTCAATTCTAAGTTAATACATACCATATTATTCTGTTTGGATTCATTAATAGTTAATACATATAGGAGCAATAATTGCTACATGATATACTATAATAATTTTTATGTTCCAAAATACTTAGTTGTTATATTTCACTTTTTTAGAATTAAAGGGATAGTTTGAGAGCTAAGGGGAGAATAATCCGTATTCCTCCTTTATTAGAATGATTAATGATAATAATAATGATAATGGCATTAGAATTTAATGATTCAAGTGGACGTATGTTTAATTATTTGTATCTAATTCTAGGCACACCCTTCTAAGACCTTCCATCAATTATTGCTTTTAAATCTTGAAATGAAGACTGTAGACAGACATCCCCTCCCTCCACGTGCCACAAATCTTCAAATCCTACCTAATACTACTGTATATGCCATTCAATCATAAACATTGACGTCGTCTTTACTAAAATCAATATATAAATAATATTATTCTTCTTATTATATCCTTTATATTTAACCTACATAGAAAAACTAATTAAATAACTCATGTCCATTGATCAAATTAATTAATTAAGATTTTAATTCATGTTTGTTGATTGAAAACGAGTTTGGGAAATCTAAATTGGTTAGAAACGGAGAGTATTGCAATTTATCTATCTATCATTAATTCATTGGCCTGTCCGCTGTCCATGGCCATAAAAAGGCAAGACTACCTCAAAAGATATGGATCAGTCCAAGGTATTACTCATTTCAAATGAAAAGCACCAATTAGATACTACTGTTTGTTGCCTAACCGATATTTTTTCCCTTCTTCTTCTGAAGAAGTAGATGAAAAATAAAAGATGCATGCATCATACTCTATTTATTAAAGTATATCTCTTTTATTAAATATCCATAGCAACTACATGCTCGATATTTGATAGAAAAGTTGTTGAATATTGATCTTCATTTGCTACAACAATTACTACTTAAGTTGTTTAGCTGCACATACACTCTACTTCGTTTAAATTTGAACTTCTCATACTTTATTATTCTGCTTTCAAGTTAGTTACTTACTATTTAAAACCCTTTATATTTAATACTACTTGATAAAGTTTTCAAGAGACTATTTCAATCATTTTCAAACCTTCTTGCCATAAAGCCTACCCCAAAAATGAGAGAGGAGAAAACAACTTTTTTATTATGTACTATAAAGCCTTTTGTATGAGCTCAGTTTAACCTTTCAATCAGCGGTTCACTAATGAAAAAAATTGTTTTCAAGATGATACTCATAAAAAAATAAAATAACTTGTTTTGAGATGACTAACACACATCTTAACATACACCATTGGTTCATACTTTACATTCTAAAACTCAAGTTATTAAGCCATAGGCCTTTATAACCCTCTCCTTCCCCCAATATAAGCCCCTTCTAACCTTATTGATGTAAGCATGTTTCTCTTAGTCATAATGTACTTGCTACACTATAAAAGGATAATTCTAAATGCAAGTCAAAGAAAAATTTAAGTCTAAGAGTTCCAAACTTTTTAGTGAGGCCAATCATGATTAGTATTGTTCAAGCCGTTGGATTATGAGATTCACTGCTGCATTTGCTGATGAGAATGCTCCATGAAAGCTTTCTTGATAGGATATGGATTCCAAATCTCCAGCCATCGTTAACAGTATCTCACCTATGTCACTTTTATTTTCAAGTAATGATCTGTAGAATGAACTTGCAGCAATTTTGCTAATCTCAATATTTGTTTCCTCTGGACAATATTCATCATCCAACCACTTGTTAAGAGCAGTTTGCAACCATTCAGATTCCTGTTAAATGCTACAAGTTCTTGAGCCATGAATTTCAATAGACAATATGCTAATTGTATACCTTCAGCCTTACTCTGTGCATATTTATGCAGATCAGAAATCTCTGCATTTTTATTCTAACTGATAAGGTAGAGGGAGCCAAATATAGTAGGCAAGGGAAAGACGTAAAAAGGTTTAACTCATATCTAGGATTATGGGTTTCAAAACATGTGCAGATGCAGAAGAAAGGATTCTAATACAATGCAATAGGAGAGGATATGAATTATATCCCTTTTGCTTCAATGGGAGTAGAAAGGATCATATCACAGCCAGCTATATCAAGATTTTGCAAGATGTTTGCAACATCACAACATTAGCAAGCCATTCTGAGATGGAAATTCCATCATGGAATACACGCCAAGCTATATAGCATAAGACAACATCCACAACTTAGGTTCAGCACTAAAGCTAACTGAAATGGAATCTTAAAGGAATTCAGTAAATAGATTTTCCACCCTAAATAAAACTTGCCAGATCATTATTAGAAAAGAAAAGCAGCTCAGTTTAAGGACACCTTATAGCATGTGAAGGAAGCCCTACTCCTCTTACAAATGTTCCCAGGGTAAAATCAGCTAAGATATATATTGAAGACACAAACTAAAGATAAGATGGACAAAATATCAAACTTCAGAGGAATTTTAAGCATATTTTGTTCAAATCTCATCTTGGCTCATCTACTCAAACAATTGTACCGGCAAAATCACCACTTGAAATAGTCAACATGCAGGAAGTTAGAAGAGACAGGTTCCCACAATATACCTTATCCTACAGAGCACTTAGGATTTTAAACCCGACAACCATGCCACATATGTACAAAAGATCTAAACTGACAATTCACCCTCGTGTAATGGATAAAGCTAGCTGAGCGAGCATCAAAAGCAATCACTAATTGTTTCATGACAGAGTGCAAGACCTTTATAGTTGACTTGCAGATCATGTCGTCCTTCTTAGTAATGACTATCCTTCATTAGATGTAAAACAAATATAATAACTTACTGCTGAATGTAAATGTCTGAACTACCATTTCATGCAGTTTGCCTCTCACTAAATGTCTTGAAGAGATCTCTCTAAGTTGATTAATTTTTGTGAAACACTTTTAGTGATTGTAATTAGAACATTAAACTTGTTCAAAAAGAACATACTAAACACGGTTAAGAAGGCATAAGAAATGATTTTTCAAGAAACACTTTGCATAGTCACAGCAGAGAAGAATACAGAAGTTACGGAAGATGATTTAGGTCATAATTCTGTAATTTCATAATGCCTTAGTACAACACCTCGGAAATTTGAACTTGGAATGGAAAAGAGAAAAGCGCAGTCCACGGAGGGGTTCACGGGCCCTGAAGAGGTCCACGACCCGTCACCCGCCCGTGAAGAGGTCCACGACCCGTCACCCCGCCCGTGAAGAAGTCCACGACCCATCACCCCACTCGTGAACTTGCACCCAACGACCATGAAGGATCACGGGCACTTAGACGGTCCGTGAAGTCGTCCATGAAAGGGACTCATCAACTTTTAAGTTTTGGGTCAACTTCAAATGATCATATCTCTCCGCACAAAATCAATTAGGTGGCTCATGACCTATCAAATTAAAGGTCTTTGTGTCCTCTTTCTGACGCCACCAAGTTTGCCTAATTTCGAGCCCGGAGTAAAAAGTTATGCTCATTTTAGTAAAGCCCTGTCGGGCAGGGCAACATGACGACCCACTGGATGGGCCGCGATGCTTTAAACGGCCGGTGAAGCAGTAGACGGCTCATGAGACTGGCTGTTTTGGGCACATTTTCAGCTTTAAAAGTTGAGGTCGTTTGGGTCTTTCCCCCTATGCGTTTGGTACTTAAACTATGTCGTTTTTACTTCGTCTAAGCCTAATTAATTAGTCAAAAACTACCTAAAACATTCATTCACCTAAAAGTCATCAGAATCAGAAAGAAAAGAAGAGAAAGAGGCGACAATTTTCTCTCCAGAACAAGCAGAGCTCTCCTTCAAGTTCAGCCCCTAAATCCAAAGGATTTCTCCGTAGTTATCTTCACCAGGTATGTGGGATTTCACTAGTGGGTTCCTTCCACCCATTAGGTCCCTAGAATTCAGTCTGTTCTTCAGCTTCTCCATAAATTGTTCAGCTCTGGGGTTCCTAAATCTTAGGGATTCATTGTAATTTAGCTGCTATAGTTTCTATAATATTAATTACATGTTTCTTGGAGAATTAGTACAGTCCCATATATAAAACTCAGAACCCTAGCTTGTGTTAATCATCCGTATTTCATGAATTATACTTGCTAGGCAGATTAGACAGACAATCATGCTACAAAATTTGAATGGCATATCTTTCAGTGTATGTATGATGCATTCTCAGATGATTATTAGTATTTTGAGCTATCCAGTATTACAGTTACACTTTTAGCTTTATATTTAGTTGGGAGTAAACTTAGCACCAAGAGGACAAAGGGATGAAGGCTCACCCGTCAGTTTAGGCTGAAACCTTTAGTAGAAAATCCCTGAGTCCAAGAATCACGGCGCCACTGTAGGTTTATCGAAGGGGTCACCCGTCAGATTAGGCTTCACACCCTCGGCCCTTGTGGACATCAGCTAGTGGATCCACGTCAGACTTGTTCGTACCCTTGGCAAGGTATGAACACCCTTCCATCCAAGGTTACAGGTTGGCCCATAGCTAGCTCAACTTGGGTATGTCGGTTAATAGTATCTCCCACAATCAGATTCATGTTGCATTGACCATGTATTCAATATCTATTTCAGTATTCAGTTCAACATGTTACATTTTCATGATTAGTTCTAGGTCATTACATCCAGCTCAGCTTTCAGTTATGCTTCAATATATTTATTTCCATGTTCAGTTTCTATATTGTTTAGCTTAGCACATATCCCGCATGCTCAGCATTCATTCAAAGTACTGACACATACTTTTGTGCTACATCGTTGTATGATGTAGGTTCAGGCGCTCAACATCCAGACTATGCTTAGCTCGACTTCCAGTCCGTACACAACAAATTCAGTGGTGAGTCCTCATAGTTTGAGGACGATAAACATGCTATACTTTTGTATTTACTTTTCAGTCAGACTTGTTAGAGTTAGCTGGGGGCATGTCCCAACAACTCAGATCAGTTAAAGCCTTTGAGACATAGATTAGATTCAACTTGAGTTGTTAGTGTTGTTTTTAGCCATCACTATACTTTTCATATATTTTATATATATTCAGATATTTTGGGCATTTCCCCATTTTAGAAATTAAACTGCTTTTAGCTTCCGTATAGTGCATGGGTTAGCTTGGGGTCACTTGTGACATTAAGCACCGTGTTGCGTCTAGGGGGTAGCCTCGGGGCGTGACACATAGTATAAGCCTACAGTTTTTTGGATAACACTACGCCCCCAACATTTTGGTCTATAATATACCAAGCAATTCAGGATTTGAGTGACGAAGTAGAGAACTACCAAGAAAACTACGCTGGCATATATGGTTGCTAAAAGCCAGACCCTCTTAACAATAACACTAGAAGGTAACTACCATTGATCACAACAATATCAGGATCACAAAAAAATCACAAAGAATTAAGTAAGAATTACTTTTATGCTTCTATATTCTTTTCGTTTTTTCCTAAAAAAGTTTACCAATCCAAAAAAAAATTAAATTCCAAGACAATGTGCTGAAGTAAGATCGAATGCTCTCTTTATGCACGAACTGCTTGATCAACCCCACAAAAATTGCAAGTTAAGATCCTTCAACACTCTCTGGATTTATATATCCTCAAGATATATAATTGCATTTTAATAAGGTTCAGAAAAACCACAACTCCACAAGTCAGTGACCATCAAATCCTTCCTACACCCTCGCAGAACCAAGTAACTACGAGAATTCAGTGCTAACTAACAGAGGTGGATCCATAAGCATATGTGTTGGGTTCATCGGAATTGAGTAGCTTTGGCTCACACCTTGTATATGTTTTAAAGAAGTTGAGTAAATAATTACAAAGATGAGCATTAAATTGATTGGGGATTTAGTAGAATATAAAGTTCAAACTTTGGATTTGCCTGCTAGCGAAGAAAGGGTTTTGAATAAAATTTCGAAACGGGATGTGTCCAAAAAAGCTACCTATGACCGATATATGGTATGTGTTAAATGAGCAATTGAGAAAAGAGTAGGTGTTACCTCCAAGGCTTTGGAAGGTTGTAGCCACTGTTGAGGAACCCTAAGATCTTCAATTAGCTGCTCAGAGCCATTGGTTTGAGCATTTAAAAGCGGGAGTCTTGCTCTAATTCTATCGACAGAAAAAAGTATACATTGATGAAGAGATGGGTGTATGATTTCACGACGTGTAATTGGTTGGAGTTGGACTAAATTAACATGAGGTTGTGAGAGGCGAAGACAGTAACAGCCTGAGACTGGAGAGAGCAATGGCCACGCCATTTTTCTTCTCTATGTTTGGATAAACAACACTGAAAAAGGTTTGGAAAAAAAATACGAAAACACATTTTTATATTTAATTTTAAAATTAAAATATCGTAAATTAAATACTAAAACTTTAACAACGCATATTACACTACTAGCTTGCGGGATTAAAGAGATAAGGGAAACAGCACAAAAGAATGGCCGCAAACAGCTGGTTCTCGGTGCTCACCTCCACCGGCGGCTCTCTTACATCTCACCGTCTCTTTTCAACATCACTAAGACCCTCTTCTTTCTTCATTCCTAAAGCTGATTCCCAAAATCAAAACCATAAGAGAAAAGTTCTCAACAAGTCATCCTCCTCTCCTCCTGAGGTAAAATTAATATTCTACTTGTCATTCGATTATTATTATTATCTTTATTCATCCAACCACAATTGTCGAATTAGTATGTCAATCAAATGGGCCACATTGAGCTCAAACGCATTTTGATTCTTCTTTCCTTGGCCAAAGATTGCAACTTTTCTATTGTGTTAGCCCTTATTTTATTCTGAAAGTATTTACTTTGCTGAAGTAAAACAATGTTATTGAAGTGGAAAATCTGATAAAGTAGAGAGTCTACTCAACAATACGGACATACATACTGCACCCAATCTACTATACATACAGCAACCTCATTGGTGCACCAAAGAGAAACTAACGACAAAAGGATAATCCTCAAATGTACAAAGACAGTTTCAAATGTAGTCAAGTGGAACTGTGCACCTTCTTTTCTGATATTATTTGACCTTTCAATCTGATTTTCTGTTTATATTGTAATGGAGTTCTCATTTATTGGTTGTTTGTCAATAATTCTTCCCTGCTTCATTTTGGTTAGTAAGAAGTAGTCTAACTAATTAGATAACATTCGTAGTGGGTACTGCAGAATTACACATATATGTATATGTTTTTACATTATATATACACACACAATTTCTTTTGATAAGATAAGTGGTATTAATCACAGCATCAGGATGATGCAAAATTTACAAGATATGGCATTTGAGCTTACAAAAAAAATCTCTGGCTAACTATACAAACTATCTAAGCCAGAGCTAATGAGTTAGTAAAATCTTGAAGTTGTTCTGCATTAACAGCAGGATACAAGTTGGTCCAACTAAACAGATTTTCAGTGCACCTAGTCTTCAAAATGCCTAAAGCAGTTGACTCTCCATCAAAACATCTCTTGTTCCTCTCTAACCAAATACACCAAAAAATACAAGCAGGTATCATAATCCAGATCTTCTTGATGGCTTTGTTAACTTTCCATAGACTCCAACTCTCATATGCATCCTTAACAGTGAGGGGTGTGGTCCAATTGATGCCAGAGAGACAAAAAAACATATATACACACAAAATTTAAATTTTTATAACTAATTAGATTACATTCATAGCGGCTCTGATACCATTAGGCCCAAGGTCTATTTCATAGAGGATAACACCAATTCAATTGTTTATCCGATGTTGGGTCCCTATCTTATATTGTTCACGCTCTTGTTGTCCAGTCCTAGTGTGCGGGGGGGGGGGGTGTTGAGTCCCATATCGGTGGAGTGTGGGTTTTTTGGTCTCCTTATGTTGTCTTAGGCAGTTCTCACCTCACGAGCTAGCTTTTTGTGGTTAAGTTAGGCCTAAGTTTCATTTCTTTATCAATGTTGAGTCCCAGATCAGTGGACTATGTGTTTCTTTTTGAACATTTTTTTTTTGAACTTTGTGTTTCTTGGTCTCCTTATATGGTGTTAGAGAAATGTTACCTCATGGGCTAGTTTTTGGGATTGAGTTCCATTTGTTTGACATGGTATTTGAGTAGGATTCATCCCAATTCTCGTTTCTCGATGTTTGGGCCCCATATTAAATTGTCCATGATCCAGATGTCCAACCATTGGTGTGAGGTGTATGTGTGCGTGTGTGAAGAAGACCCACATCGATGGTGAAGGGGATGGGCAGTCTCTTATATGGCTTGGGTAATCCTGACCTCTTGAGCTAGCCTTTGAGGTTGAGTTAGGCTCAAGGCCCATTTCATAAACAAGAGTGACTTTAATGTTGAAACTTATATTTCCTGAAATTAGATAAGAAATGACGAATGGAGAGAAGTCCAGAAATTTAGGAGAATGAGAAGGTTACATCAATTTAACAGTGCCAAAAAATGTTTGTGTATATTTTTGCTTGTATTCACTCATTTAACCTCTTGCATGCTTTTAATGATCCAAAAGAGATAATGAATGTCCCCTGAAATAGGAATTAAGATAAGTTGAAAGCATAAGTTTGTTGTTTACTGGTTTTGTTACTCGATGATAAAAATTGAAAGAAGTATTTTGTGAAGCAGACATCCACACAAGCTTTAAATATAACTATCTCTTACAATGAAATCACCTTTTCTTGTTGGTCCTTAAAACATGATTCAATTTGAATTGTTGTTATCTGCACTGAGTGTTCTTATGGTTATGCTCATTGGAGCAAGTCATTTTACTTTCTTCCAATTTAGGGAAAAAGTATTTCCTTGTTGTTTATGAATTAAACTTCTATTAAATAAGCAAGCCATGAATTCAGAAAGTAGCTGGTAAACAGAAGTTTTCACGGAGATCAAAAAATGAAGGGCCTTTTGCAAATGCAGATGGCAGGAGTAGTTCAAGTGAAACAGGACGATCTCAATCAACAGCAATTAAATCATTTGGTCTGCAGAAAAAAGGGAAAGGAATTATGTTAGATTCAAAGGACCAGCAGGTAAGAAACACAACTGCTTCTCTCCTTTTATTTTGGTGATTGGCTTATTTCTTGTCGTTGAGAAATATACAGAACAAGGGCAAGGGGGTTAGTCCCGTGACTCTGTGTGGGTGTGGAGGGGGGTGGGGGAGGAAGAACATGAAAGGCTTGCACTTTTTCACTACATGGCAATTCTACATAGCAATTTGAGTCCTACATGGTGTCCTACGTGTATTATGCCACGTAGGACTACTTTTATTCAACTTTATATAAGTTTATGTGTCTACTTGTGCGCACCCAAAGTTGGAGTGCATAAATGTGAAATGAGGTCAAGTTAAAAGGCACATATATGTATTATGCCAATCAACAAAGATTGAACACCTCAAAGTTGAGAATATTTTAATTCTGTGAAAACTTAATCAAGAACCGATATGTAACAAATCATAAATAGTAAGCAGCGTCACACATATCGTACATATTTAACTTATCAAAGTGTAAGGAGTACCAACTGAGAAGTGCATGGATCAATAGATTTAGATCATTCCATCTAAGTTATGGGAAAAATTTGAAATTGGCTTCATGACAAATAAGCCAGGGTATTCTTTTTTAAAAAAAACAATAAACAAACTATTTGCTAGGGGTATTCATTTTTAAAAAATAAAATAATTTGGGTGATAATTAGCGAAGGCTTTATCCAAGAATTTAAGATTATGAACAAAGACTCATGCCTACTTGTATGGCCACACCTTATTTATCAACCATTCTGAAGATACTCACCAGATACTCTCCCATCGTTTTTTTTACATCATCTCCCACATAATTATATCTCATTACCATTGTGTTTACAAATGCTTGCCAACTGAATGCAAGCATTGCTGTCAAGTTCTTTGAGTCAATTATGTGCCAAAAACTATTGTTTTCAATTGTGCTATGCCGCTGAACCTAAGTTGGTTTTCTTTTCCAGGTAGAAACTGGCAGCATTCAAGATGCAGCTTTTCTTAATGCTGTTGTGAAGGTGAATATATTTTAATACATAGCAATGTTGTAAGCATGCCATTTGTTTGGATGCCTCATCTTCAAATCTCAAGGTGAAGGTGTAGATCATTTGAATCATTAAATTTTAGCAAAAGGGGATCCCAGGAAACTATCAACTTCAGTACTCATCTTATCCTTAGTTGCTTAGAAACAGAAATTCATGAAATAACCTCATGTATGATGTATCGCTAACGTTTTGAACCAACAGTTGCGTCACTGGGCATTCGTAAGGTTGTTGTTGTCCCTGTCCCACATGAAATTATTTTCTTATTGTTTGGTTCTTCCTGTTGAAAGATAATAAAAAGTAAACTTCAAATATACTTATGCAGCACTTAGAATGGTGTACACCCAATAGATAGTCTATCTTACCCAGTTTCATTTTTGGCATCAATAGGTCCGTCAAAATTGCTTTCAACATGTCTGCAAGTGCACTTGTGAATGGCTTTTAAATGGATTGCATGATAATTTTAGTAGTGTTTACTCATTTTCCTCCATTCCATGTTGTTTGCTTCAAGGTTTACTGTACACATACTGCTCCAGATTATTCCCTTCCTTGGCAGAAACAAAGACAGTTCACAAGTACTGGAAGGTATGCTCTTCCTCATTTCTATCTACTTAAAAAATTGTGGGAAATTTCCTATGAAGAGTTGTTCTGTAATGCAATATTTACCTTCAGTTTTTTTTTTTTTTTTGTAAAAAGTAGTTCTGTAATGCGTTTATTTTCTGATATTGTCTACTATATCTGGTAGGCTGATCCTTTTAAGGTGGGAGGGGGCAGGATAGCCTACAAGTCTGACTTTAGTTTGATTCATACAGTGCTTTCATGATTGGTGATGGGAAGCTCTTGACGAATGCGCATTGTGTTGAACATGATACACAGGTACCTCTGAGGTTTTAACCTTCCCTTTATAAGTATACAAATTCTTATTATTTATGCCCCTCTCTCCTCTAAATTAAATAAAAGGACGTCTCTAATAACAATTTGGTGTCAACCAATAATCAGAACAAGTATATCATTATAATTTTAGGTTATTTTATGAACCTTCAGGTGTGGGTAAACGAATTTATCCTTTCCCCTCCCATTGTGAACAATGTATCTTAGTCATCTAAGACATGGTCTATCAAACCAAAGCTGGACGGCCACACTGACCCGAGAAAACATGCATTACTACATTTACGGAAAAAAAATCATTTTATTTGTACTTTCTTTAAAGGGCGAAGGAGGTCAGATTTTTTTCTTTTTCTTTTATTTCATAAATGATTAATAACAGCTTGGGATGAGTATAGAGAAAAGGTAAATTTGAACTTTGTCATCCATATATTTATGGCTTTGCAATATGCCATCCACAGTTTTAGGATCGGACTCCACGTCCAACTATTGAAATTTATTTCACTTTGTCATCCTGACCCTTTCACCGGTGAAAACCTAGTGGGAAGGCAAGACTAACGATTTGTGGTCAATTTTTTCCAAATTATCTGGACAAGGCTGTATGACTTCCCAGATAGGAAACTAGAAACAGAAAGGTAAGTGCGGCTCGTTTACCCTCATTTTTGTAGTTTTTTTACAAGAAAAATGTGGATGGCAAAGTGAAGGGCTGAAGGCTTAGAAACTTTGGACGGCATTCTGCAAAATAAAAAAAGGAGGATAGAAAATGCATCTTTTCCTTCAAAGAAACATAATTTTGATTATCTAGCTCATATCCGATCCAACCTTACCCATAAAGAATTGATCACCAACAGTCCATATTAGCTAATCTAAGTCCATTTTGTTCACTAATCAATCCATTGTGTTTTTGGGATAATATCTATCTCCACATTACCACCTGCACTTTTATGACACACTCATCTCAAGTATATACATAGTGGCCAACTTTGTATTCAGTATTCACTATTGTTGAAGACCTGCTATTTAGGTGGTCTTCTATCACCCAAATGAGTTACATTTTCTACTCCATCTGCCTTTCAAATGCTGGTTTTTAGCTTAATTAATATTTTTGGTGGCAGGTCAAAGTGAAGAAAAGGGGAGATGACACAAAATATGTTGCTAAGGTATGCTTTTCATGATAAGTTTTAAATGCCTGCATCACTTAGAAATCATTCTAGTATTATAAATAGTAGTTTTAAGGGTGCAACTATGGTGAGGTAGGTTGACAACTTAGACCAAAGTAACCTAATTATGTGGTGCTTAATTCTCATCATGTATGACATGTAGGTTCTAGCTAGAGGGGTAGCGTGTGACATAGCTTTGCTATCCGTGGAAAGCAAGGAATTCTGGGAGGGAGCTGAGCCCCTTAGTTTTGGACGGTTGCCTCGTCTGCAGGTACTTCTCATTTGTCAATTCCATTTTTTAAAAAGCTGTCCCATGGGTAACTTTATATATGCTTTTTTCCCTGAAGACGTACTTTCTCATTTTCATGTTGGTCTAAATTTGTCAAAGAAATTGGGATAAGCCAACAACACCCTTTGCAAGTGTTCATACTGAATAAAGTTCCCACCTATCTAATTGATGTCTGCTTGCTATATTAGTCAATTGCACTTGATCTTGGATAAATTAAGTTTGTGGATGTCCTATCCTTGAGTCGAGATTTGTCTATGATATGTATGATTATGTGAATTCTTTAATTGTATGGCAGCTTCGCATTTGATAGTAAGCTTCTACGGTTGATATCCAAGTAAATGCTTAGCTATTTCTTCAGTGGGATTATACCTTCAAAGAAAGAATATTATATTTATTCTACATTTGTTCTCAGGGAAAATACAACAACATAGCCAGTATAGTCACACACGTGGGGTTTGAGGAGGGTAAAGTCTACGCAGACCTTACCTCTACCTTGTCAACCTCTCACACCTTCTTACTGGGGTGTCTGTGCATCTCCTCCATGCCCAAACCATCTCAGTCTAGCCTCCCGCATCTTGTCTGCCACAGAGGCCATTTCCACCTTGGCCCGAATATCTTTATTTCCAACCATATCTCTTCTAGTAAGCCCGCACATCCATCTTAACATACTCATTTCCGCAACTGTCATCTTCTGGACATGACAGTTCTTGACTAGCCAACACTCCACCCCATACAACAAATCAGTCTAACTACTTCTCTGTAGAACTTATGTTTTAAGTCTTATTGGCAACTTTTTATCACATAAGACGCCAAATGCTAGCCTCCATTTCAACCTCCCCGCACCAGTGCGATGTATGCCATCTTCGTCAATCTCCCCATTGCCTTGGATAATAGCCCCTAGGTACTTGAAACTCCCTTTCTTGGAGATGACTTGACAATCCAACCTCACTTGCACGTCAGCTACACGATGCACTTCACTGAACTTGCTTAGTCTTAAACCTTTAGGGGTCGTTTGGTGTGATGGATAAGAATAAATAGTCATGGGATAAAAAAATAGTCCTGGGATAATATTTTGGTTTCTTGTTTGGTTGTTATGTTTGGGATAACTTATCCCACCATTTATACCATAGTGATGGGATAAGTTATCCCATATACATGGTGGGATAAGTTATCCCTGGATAACTAATCCCAAGATAATTAATCCTAGGATAACCTTTTCCCAACCAAACGACCCCTTAGATTCTAGGGTCTGTCTCCACACCCCCCATCTTGTCGTTAATCCAGCTACGCGTCTCATCAATCAATACAATATCATTGACAAATAACATGCACCAAGACACCTGCCCTTGAATGTGTTGCATCAGAAAATCCATCACCAAAGCTAATAAAAACGGGCTAAGAGTCGATCCCTGATGCAACCCCATCACAACTGGAAAGTGACTGGATTCTCCTCCCACTGCCCTCATCCGGATCTTAGCTCCATCATACATGTCCTTAATATCTCTAATGTACATGATTGGAACACCTCTGGTTCCAAACATCCGCGTAGAACCTCTGTCAGAACTAATTGTAAGCTTTTTCTAGGTCAATGAACACCAAATGCAAGTCCTTTTTCCTATCCCTATACTGCTCCGCCAATGGCTTCCGTAGTCGATCAAGCGTTCAAACGCTGCTGTCTTTGCCGCCGTCACTGATTTTCAATAAAAATCTTCGAAAGAAATTTGGGGAAGAGCCAATTTTGGACTTATGATCACTATAACATAATCTTGTTGCCTTTTTGTTTGTCATTTGATGTTTGTAGAACCTCTGCTACTACATATTTTGTGTTGCTGGCGTAATTTCTATTTTCCATGACCATGACTTATTAAAGAACCCTTATCTCTTGCCGAATCTGATGAAACACATATAGCTTATATATTAAGCTGGTCCTTTTCCTTTTGCAGGATGCTGTAACTGTGGTTGGCTATCCACTTGGAGGAGATACAATCTCTGTGACAAAGGGGGTGGTGTCAAGAATTGAGGTTTGTTTATGTTCACCTCTCATAGTATTAGTTTATTCCTTAGCTTAATGACGGACTTGTAGATGTTTTTACCTACCTTAAGAATTTAGATAGTACTCTTTGACCAATGCGGTCCTTTGTTTTTTCCTAGGTATACTATAACTTCTTGTTCTCGTTTACTGATGAATGGTATTGTTCTCATCATGTCATGATCTATTCAATATCAAAGGGTATTGATTGCTACAACTTAGATTAATAAATGGATAGTGTTAGGAAAAGAAACTTGCTTAAATCATGCACGATAGTCACAACCTTGGCCAATGCATGAACTGTTTACAGTTATAATGTCTAATTTTGTAGATTCTCTTGCCAAAAACAGAAACCTATACTTAAAGGGGGTTTATCCACTATTAATCAGGTTTCATGATCCTAAATTAAAATAACAATTGCATAACCTAGTCAATGTGAATATTGATCTTCCATCAGTGACCTGCTATTAAGCATGTTGATTTGCCTTAACGAAATGCGAGGTACTTTTATAGAGACATTATTCTTTGTTATTGTTATTGTTATTGTTATCGTTATTGTTTTTCTTTGTTTTGTTACATTCAAACCCATTACACCCTTATTATTCCCACTTTTTAAGGTTGTGGCTACAGTTAAGAGTATTGAAGCAAATAGTTGTTCGCTTGAATTCCAGTCAGTTCTATAGGTTGGAGAACAGTTGATTATCACAACTAGACAATCTTCTGTTTGCTACTAGTGATAGATACAGCCTGATTTTGATTTCCTAGATATTGATTAAAAGTGCTAACTCATAGGTTGGTCTTCATCAATAGGTTACATCATATGCTCGTGGATCATCTGAGCTGCTGGGCATTCAAATAGATGCAGCAATAAATCCTGGTAAATGGATGTTGAAATAAGACCGTTCCTATAATCAGCCCGTAGAAATTTACTCTTATCGATCTTGTATTAGAACTTATCCATGTTTACATACTCAGATCTATAGTTGTATTTTTTCTTGCTTTAACATAGTTGCTGCTACTAATTGCAAGACTTTTAGGTAATAGTGGTGGTCCTGCATTCAATGATGATGGAGATTGCATTGGAGTTGCATTTCAGGTAGTTGCTTGTCAGATTTGGATAATGGTTATTCATGTGACCAGATTCTTGCTTCTTTGGGCTTGTCACTTTAGTTTACACAGAGTCCTCTCTTTTAGGGAACTTTTGTAATGCAACTAGTTTGAAATGATCACTTAATCACATAATTGAAGTAGTTTATTTTATCGCTGCAGTTATCTTCATCTGTTTTAAAAGACATTCTGATGCTAATTTAAGAGCTCGCCCCAAGGCAAACCATAATACTATCGCTTGGGCCAACTAGGGGTGGTAACATGCTTATGGTCATGAGCTCTATCAACAGTTCTTCAAATCACTTTTTGTATTTGACACTTCTTTTTTTATTTTGCTTGATCTATTTACTGAATGAGTTCAATAACTCCTCAGGGTATAAAATGTTTTCTAGTGCATTTGCCTTAAAAATCATGATAATCAGCATACTGTTCTTCCACTATGTTTGACAAAGTTATGATCTTCTTCAAGAATCTCATGTTATTTGTTTTTTACTTTATGTGTTGCTTTCATATTGGTATTGCTTACCCAACTACTTCTTTAGGTTTACAGATCCGATGATGCTGAAAATATTGGTTATGTAATACCTACTACAGTTGTATCTCATTTTTTGGAAGACTACGAGAGGAATGGGAAGTATTGTGGTGAGTCTGTCTCCTTTTCTGGCAGTATCTGCTCATTCAGGCCACCTAAATGGCTAGGGATTTGCAAACAGTCTGTTTTGTTTCCAGCTACATAGTTTAACGAAGATTATTTATTTCTTGGATTAGATTATGACAACTGACTGATCTCGGAGATTAGCTTCATTTCAATCTGTTTGGTCCAAATTCCATATCTGTTTTTAATATACATCAAGCTTGGATTTCTTAAGTTCGATTGTGTTGCTGGAAAAATCAATTAATATGCAAATGTAGACTTAAATAAAGCATACTTTTGAGTTACATGTTATAGAAAATACTCAGTTCTAAACTTCAAATATGAGCTTATTTTGAATCTAACCAACTGACCACTCCACCTGCTCCTATTTCATTTGCCAATCAAGTAGCTTTGTTGTTGCCTGTTGGATTGTCATGATGTCTATCTGTTATTGTGTAATGATGATGCTTGATGGGAGAGGGATTAAGAGAAACATTTAACTCCAGACGGTGGTTGGGTTTGCTAATGAGAAGGCGGCTGGATGAATGGAAACTTCACCGAGCAGCTCAGCCTGTGACCTGAAGGCATATGTGGAAGAAGCACGTACACCACTTGGTTCTGTGAAAGGAAAAAGGAGAGTATAAGGTGTTTCTGAAATAACTAAAAAATTGGCATTATTAATGTGTTTAAGAGTCGTGGAAATAAGGGGTTGGCTGCACAGGGGATCATGGATTTTTGTTGGTGCCTAAGAATTTTGCTTATGTTATTTGCTTCCCTGCTATCCTTAATCACAATATTGACTTATGCTTTCAGGCTTTCCTTGCCTTGGGGTGTTGTTGCAAAAATTGGAAAATCCAGCGCTACGTGCCTGCTTAAAAGTGCCATCTAACGAGGTCTGTTTATGTCCTATACAGAATGAAAGTCCTTCATCTGCTCTTCAGAGTGATAGTCTTTCTCTGTATAGTTCATCAACCCCCGCCCCCCCCTCCACGGTCCGTGCTTTGTTTTCCCTTTTTGTGCGTGTAATTGCTGAATTCATTGATCAATAAAAAAAGTTGCCTGCTGCTGACAATTATCAATTAGAATACATAGGAACACATTCGGAGAAACAATTTAAAGAAAATGTGGAAGGCATCCTTAGGCTTAAGCGTGTGAAAAATTGAATTTATTTGGGTATGGATTTGAGCTGAGTAAAGCTAACTTTTCTTCATAAACACCAGTGGTGAACTTTTTAATAGTTGACTGATTTTTATTCAAGAGGAAGTCATCCTGAATGAAGCAGCATTTACAATATCTTCAGTGTTCTGGACACTTCTGGTCTCTAATAATACTTTGTGCCTCATCAGGAAAAAGAAAAAAAATTAGTCCTACGTGAAAGCAAACCCATTTTGAAATTCATCCAACTGAATCCACCTTGGCAGTAACATGTTCTGAGACATAGATGTGTAGTGGTTACTCAGTTGATTGTGTGGAAAATTTGGTACTCATATAATGCTTCTAGACGTCCTCTTATACAGCTGGTTTTTCGTTTGATAGGGTGTACTCGTCCGGAAAGTTGAGCCCACTTCTGACATCAGTAATGTTGTGAAAGAGGTATTTGTATTCTTTATTTCAGCAGGTTATTGCTGATTTTACTGTTAAACATTGATTTCTTTGCACCACTATCAATGTCAGCAGTTGGTAGCTCTGTTCTGATAATGACAGTTAATTTAGGCCAGAGAGCCTCAGCTTAATGGTATTTATTTCACGTTCAAAGTTTTTGAAATATGTAGTACTTAAACTGCAACCTGCAAATGGATGGACCATAAGAAAAAATATTTAATTTGACTGGGAAGTGACAAATGAGAAACTAAAATAAAAAGTCTTTGTTGTCATCAGAAGCCCCCTGGAAGTCATAGGCTCATGGCTCCAGGCATCTACATTATTAAATAGTGTGCTTCACTTCTTCTCCGTCCATTTGTGTCAATTAACTTGATTTAGTCATTACAATCGGTTCTTTCTAGAAAATAGTGTGATTGATTAATATAGTTATGTTGACTTCCTCCTTCCTTTATAGCAGATAACTTCTTTGAAACAATATCCACTGAGGATGTGTCTCTAAATAGAGCATAATGAACATGGAAGATTCGTGTCGCCGTGTCCAATTAGTTTGGGATTTGGTGTTATTGATTGATTGAATATGGACTAGGGACTCAAGTTATAGATTTTACATTCTTTTCATTAATTGCTACTTTTACAACATTGATTAACATGCACCATAGATGTGCATGACATGGATATTCTGTTGGTATCTAGTATTCATTTTGCCAGAACATCCAGTTAATGTCCTATTACTAAATTAATGAATGGAAAAGAGGAGTATACTAGAATCTTTGATCATGTTTAGTTAGTCCGACCTATTTCTACATTAGCTTATTTGATTTTTTCTCTTCTTATGTTGTTAGTTAAGTTACTACAGAAATTTTCTTTCGATAATTGTTTCATATACATGTTGATTTGGTAATGTCACTAAGTCGAATAATATTTGGCACATTTTTCCAGGGCGATGTCATTGTTAGCTTTGATGGTGTTCATGTTGGGTGTGAAGGAACAGTGCCGTTTCGATCAAGTGAACGTATAGCTTTTCGCTATCTCATTAGTCAAAAGTAATGTTTAATTACTTGCAAGAAGTTAAATTTGCATTAAAAGGCATTGGTATGTTTGACAAACATTTTTTCATTACATACTTGATACTACGTTTGAAAAACATTATGCACTTAATGTTCAGTTTGAATGTCAAACTCTGACTGTTAGTTCATGTAATGGTTACCGATTTTCAAGGCAACACTTCCCCCTTTGTCTTTTCCACATAAGTTTCTGCTTCAATTAAAATTTGCCAAAGCTAGCAGGGAATGCTATCATTTTGTATACTATGAAGGTTGAATAGTCTTTTTTGTTTTTTTGTTTTTCTCCCCGTGGATCCATTTCCTTGGTGACTTTGAAATGGATATCAATTAATGCTAGTATTTCACTGAATCCCTAATGTCAAAACTCCAAACTCTCCCCATCTTCCATGTTGATGTTGATCCTGCATGTTGATTTATAAAGTATGCACATGCTACTGTATATTTTTCAAAAAAATGTTTTTTCCTTTTCAGATTCACTGGTGATTCAGTTGAGCTTGGTATCATTAGAGCGGGAGAATTTATGAAAGTTCAAGCAGTTTTGAAGCCGCGTGTGCATTTGGTATAAAATAAATGTTAGCTGACCCTTGGTCTTTTTGTTGACATCACTTGAATCTCAGTTTAATTTATATAGATCTGTTTGCTCTCATCTGAAGGTTCCTTATCACATAGAAGGTGGTCAGCCTTCATACCTAATAGTTGCAGGCTTGGTGTTTACCCCACTATCCGAACCACTAATAGAGTAAGATTTTCCATAATCCCTCGTATAGTTATACGTAGCTAGCAATTTGCTAGTTTTCAAGTACATATTAGTATAAGAGTTCTCTCTCTGATAACAACACATTCATATTTTATTTGGCAGGGAAGAAGAAGATAGCATTGGGGTAAGTCTTGACAAAATGATGATTGCTCGCAATGATTAAAACTTCTTTTTTGTTCTGTTTTGATAAGTCAATGATTAGAAATATTTACTTGTCTTGATTGTCTTCTTTTAATTTTATTAGCTAAAACTATTGACCAAGGCTCGATACTCTTTGGCCAAGTTCGAAGGTGAACAGATTGTTGTACTATCTCAGGTATGTATGGAGTAAGTTTTGGCCTTGGTAAATCAGTTCATGGATATAGTGACTGAAATATTTATCCTTTCTTCTGTTCATTACTGGACTCGATAGTAGGACATACCCATTCCTGGGACATGGTGGAGGAACAGGGCACATTATCCCAAGGGTGATGATAGAGGTGGCAAAATGGTTAAATAGGCTTTAGCCTGCCCATTTGTCACCCTTGGGGTTCTAGTATACCTTATCACTTGCTTACCATTTTTTCACCTCTAAATGATGCCGAGGGGTTAATTACGAAAATAATGCCACATTCAATGGTTTATTTTGCTTGTAGGTCTTGGCAAATGAAGTAAATATTGGATATGAGGATATGAGCAATGAGCAGGTAAGTTATTCGTATTCACTTAGATGTTATATTCCTACCAGTTGAATTGTAAACAATAATTAGTGTGAACATCAAACTTCAAATTAAGTCACGGGTGATTTTTCAATGAAGTGGATTCATATGCCGACCCCAACTAGCTTGGAGTTGAGGCATAGTTGTTGTATGCTGCTTCTATGAAGTCTCAATTTTTAATTTACTTGGCAGGTCTTGAAGTTGAATGGCACCCGAATTAAAAACATTCACCATTTGGCTCATCTTGTAGATTGTAAGTGGTAATATACGTAGTTGAGGTTTCTTTTCACTTTAGCTGAGCATTTACAAATTTATCTGTTTGTGCAGCATCCAAGGGCAAATATTTAGTGTTTGAATTTGAAGACAATATTCTGGTGGTTCTGGAAAGGGAGGAAGCCATGTCTGCCTCAGCTAGTATTCTCAAAGACTACGGCATTCCAGCTGAAAGATCATCAGATCTTCTGGGACAGTATGTTGATTCCACCATTGAACAAAGTGAAGCAACCAATCACGGTGAATTTGGCTATGAAGGGCTTCTTTGGGCTTGATCACTTAACATATGAAGCTTGATCTTGATTCTCACTTGAAGGCAGCCATCTTCCAAAGTGTTTCATGAATAAGATGGTTATTCTTGCAGAAAAAGATCTATTGTCACATTTGTAAACTTGACAGGGGGAAGAACTCAGATAAACAGGCAAAATCTGCATGGTGACTCTACACAACAGCGCTTACTTGGCTACCTCCTTTGGTTTTAAAACAAGATTGGCCCGCAAAGTGAACAACAATTATGTAGCAAATAATACAACTGATGGATGCAAAATATAAAAAAAGAAAATGTTCAGTTGAAATCAATGTGCTGGTGGCTATTGCCTTTAGGTGAAATGGAAGTTCATGGCCCTGCACATTTAAGTATGCAGCATTTCTGAGGTTTATTTTTACAGGTGTAGGATGTAATTATCAATTTTTAGGAAATTTTGAGAGTTGAAGGTTTTGTTTCCATTCACATAATTCAGTATAGGCAAGATATTTTTTTGTTCTTTCAGTTTTTCCTCCCCATTCCCGGTAGTAATCTTTGGTGTGTAACCTGTTAGAGCATATTCAAATCTTCTGTGTTACTTATATTTGCAGCAACAAGAAGTTTTGATTTGAAAAATGGAAGGTTAGATAAGATGGTGTATTTATTCACTTTCCTGAACCGTATCCGTATGTGGGAAATATCACATTCCTATGAGCTCAATATGTCATAAGACTATAGAATGGACCTACCATACTCCAACCTACACAAGATTCCAAATTCCTGAACATGCTTACTTAGACCTTTTTTGTTTCTTTTTTCACCTGCTTACGAATCGTCTGCAGAAATGATTTAAATATTAAATGAAATGATCATGCGAATAGTTATCTGTATATGCCAGTTTATAGTAACATATTTTTCAAGTTACTTATTGAGATTTTCAAGATGGTGGAGGTGCCAGACACAATTTTGAAAATGGTTTGTCAGATAGAGAAAATTCCATAGAGGAAGAGGACAAACAAGCTCATGTGATATCTCAACAATTACCATTAACCAATCTTGTCCCATTGCCAATACATTCCAAGCTGTCTTCTTAGCTTGTTGATAATCCTAATGTCATTCTTTTCACCAAAGATAATACCTTTACTATTTCTGTGCCAAGAATAGTCAAAAGGGTGTCCACACCATTCATTAATGGCTTCCACTTCCACAAAGCCATTCTTGATTCCACTCATGATTTTGTTGATTTGCCAATCTTTTTATTCTTGTGTAGCTAGCATGCCAGCTTCAACTATTTCAGCTGCACCTGCATTGCCACCAATATCTTCTTCACCTTCACTTTCTCCAGATATAACTCCTCTGTTTCCTTCACCTGGTGGCTCAGAGCTTGCTCCAAGTGATTCTTCACTGCCCACTATACCTTCAACTCTCAGCCCACCAAATCCAGATGCTATGGTTGCTCCTGGACCTTTCATGCCATTTCAGCCTTCTGCCTCATTCTCATTTCACTCTGCAATTCCTCTAGCATCAGTTTTTAGTGCAATTCTGGTCTTTGGTCTGTAATTGCTGCTGCATTGTTGGTACAGATTGGATTTTGGTATAATTTATTGTTTTAGTATTAAATATTCACACCATGTACTACAGCTTTATTCATATTGTTTTTGCTTATCAGAGTAAATAATCACTTATTACTAAGTTAATTGAGATGTATTGCCATTCTTGTGTCTCCAAATAAGAAGGGTTATGATAAAACAATGACTCCACTTTGTCTAAACAAGCTTTTTCATTCTCTGTTTGATTCAGTTGTCAAAAGAATACTATTCAAATTAAAATGATACTCTTCCTATACTAAAAAGAATAATTTTTGAGGTATAGTAGCAAATGAACAAAAAGTATAATCATTGAATATACTACTAGTGCTTAGGAGATGTGCTCTTCAAAAAACCCTTGTTTGATGCCTTGAGCTCAATGAAATTATCCCCCTTCATCCTGAGGCTGCTGTTTTCCTCCCTGAGCAAATCCAAAGCAGTCTGATTGCCTCTCATCTTTCTGCATTAGAAGTTGTTGTTGAACTCGGGTCTTTTCCTCAATTTTTCTTGGTGCAACTTTAGTACTTGATCAGTTTTAAGGCTAAGGCCGTTTGATGCTTGGATTTCCTCTTGGTCGTTATCAGGATCTGATAGAGTAGTCAGATTCTGAATAGGAGGATTTCTCGATGAAGGGATCATATTTTGTGAAAGGCAATGGTGACGCCTACACTTGATTTGATCATATCCCTCAGCGCATCAACCATGCACTTAATGTTAGGGCATGAGGGATTACTTAATTACTAATGAATGAATCATTTTCAAATTCCATGATGAGTTGTTCATCACAGATTGGACCACTGTGATGAATGGAGGGAGTACTATTCTGTTCCTAGCAGCAATAAAAACAAAACAAAAAAAAGAAGAGCTAGAGTTGATTGAAGCCATGGAGAGGGAGAGGGATTACATTTCTTGTCAGTACCAGTGTGAGTGTGTGTGTTAATAGCTCATCTCCCATTTTGATGATGAGTATAATTAATTAATTTTGGAGTTTGTGTTTGTGTAGTACTGAGACCATGTTATGGATATGGATGGAGTTTAATTCCAAAAGCGCAACGGTCCAAAATGTAATCTAAAATTTGTAATGAAATAATCAACTATTTTACTTACAAAATGAAATAATATCATGGACTTTACCTTAAGTGATATGTGAGAGGTTATACTAAAAATATACAAAGACAGCTTCTTTTAAATAATAATATATATAATGAATGATTTTCAATCAATTTCATGTTTAAAAATGGAAAGACAATTAAGAGAAGAAAGAATAAATAAATAAAAAAGTATCCACAATAATTAATATGAGCACCGACAACTAAACTAAACTAAACTTAACCCAACCCTGGTTAAGTTAGTTAACTAACTATCCATTTCCAACAATAAATCATCCTCTTCCTCTTCCTCTTCCACTTCCAGATCTGAACAACAATGTCTTCGTCGTCATTCCCTGAACAAGTGTTGAAGCACCTCTTCTCCTTGTTAACCTCACACAAGGACCGTAACAGTATATCCTTAGTCTCTAAGTCGTGGTACGAGCTCGAGAGGCGCTCTAGGAGGAGTGTCTTCATCGGCAACTGCTACGCCGTTAGCCCTGAGATTATGATCACACGCTTCCCTCAACTCACATCTATCTATCTCAAAGGAAAGCCCCATTTTGCCGACTTTAATCTCGTTCCTGAGGGATGGGGTGCCTATCTTCAACCTTGGATTGCTGCAATGTCTCCCTCTTACCCTTGGCTTGAGGAAATTAGACTCAAGCGAATGGTTGTCACTGATGACTCCTTGGACTTGATTTCCACCTCATTTCATCATTTCAAGGTCTTGGTCTTGTTGTCTTGTGAAGGCTTTACTACCGATGGACTTGCTGCCATTGCCGCTAACTGCAGGTCGGTCCCTTTTATTGCCTTACTTATTTGATTGCTGCTTAACATAATGGGCATCTCCCATACACTTACAGAAAGAATTGAAATTGTTATTTGCACTTTTTTTCTCATGCAGAAATCTCACTGAACTAGACTTGGGAGAAAGTGAATTGGAGGACCTAAGTAGTGATTGGCTCAGTCATTTTCCTGATGGTTGTACGTCACTGGTGTCACTTAACATTTCTTGTTTGGGTTCTGAGATCAGCTTATCACATCTAGAGAGTCTCATTGCACGTTCTCCTAATTTGAAGACACTTCGGCTCAGTCAAGCTGTCCCCCTTGAGAAACTTCCACACATATTGTCTTGTGCTTCCCAATTGGTTGAATTTGGTACAGGTGCATACTCTTCTGAGGTACAGTTACAGCCTGATGTTTTCTCAAACCTCCAAGAAGCTTTTTCAGGCTGCAAGATACTTGAAGGCTTGTCTGGATTTTGGGATGTCATGCCAGCTTACCTTCCAGCTGTATATCCAGTTTGCTCCAGACTCACCTCATTGAATTTAAGCTATGCTACTATTCAAAACCCTCATCTTAACAAGCTCATAAGTCTGTGTCATAATTTGCAGAGATTGTGGGTATGTTCCAGTGCTTTACTTTACTTTACTTGCCTATGTTTTCAGTCACAACATTCTGATAACTTAAGAGCATGATATCTTGAGCCTTGAAGCCAAGGGATTGTTTATAAGAGAAGCACACAAAATTTTACCTGTAAATTCTGTTGACGGCAAGGATATCTAGGATAAAAATCATGATATGCAGATACTTTCCACTCATAAGATTGGCTAAAATAATTCACCTTTACCTTAAGTTGAAGTTATAGACCTGTACATGAAGTAGGATCTAGAAGATACATTCTTTGGTTGTATAATTCTCATACGCAATGGCCATATGACATATTTATCAATCTTAATGCCGAAGACTTTTTTATCTGTTCTCTTTTCCTGTGACATTCAAAGAATTTCCTGCTAATGGTTCTTTAATCTTTCTTGCTACAAGCTTGGAATAGTTGCTTAGTGTTTAAGACATTTCACTTTGAATAAATGTGACTACAGGTACTAGACTACATTGAAGATACCGGTCTCCAGGCGCTTGCCGTTACCTGTAAAGACCTGCAAGAACTTAGGGTGTTTCCTTCTGATCCCTTTGATCCAGAACCAAATGTTTCCCTGACAGAGCAGGGACTTGTAGCTGTTTCAGATGGCTGCCCTAAGCTCCAAACAGTTTTATACTTCTGCCGCCAAATGACAAATGCCGCTTTGATTACTATTGCTAGAAACAGTCCTAACATGGTTCGTTTTCGCTTGTGTATTTTGGAACCTCGAACTCCTGATTACTTGACTCTTGAACCGCTTGATGCTGGTTTTGGGGAAATTGTGGAACAATGCAAAGAGTTGCGGCGACTTTCTCTTTCTGGCCTTCTTACTGACCGTGTGTTTGAGTACATTGGGACCCATGCTAAAAAGTTAGAGATGCTTTCCGTCGCCTTTGTTGGGGATAGTGATATGGGCCTCCACCATGTACTCTCTGGATGTGAGAGCCTCAGAAAACTAGAGATCAGAGACTGCCCCTTTGGTGACGACGCTCTTTTGGCTAATGCTGCAAAACTGGAGACAATGAGATCCCTTTGGATGTCTTCTTGTTCAGTAAGTTTTGGAGCCTGTAAGCTGCTAAGTCAGAAGATGCCTAGGCTTAATATTGAAGTTATAGATGAAACGGGTCTTCTGGACACGCAGCCAAGAAGCTGCCCTGTTGATAAACTTTACATATACCGAACAGTGGCTGGACCAAGGTTTGACCTGCCTGGTTTTGTTCGGATAATGAAAGAAGATGCTGCACATTAGCAATGGAAATTCACCCTCATGCTATTAATCCTCCTTTGTATAGCAGGTTAAGCCATAAAGTGCTATGTCGAAGACCTCACATGCCATCAACTATTACCTCTTGGCTAAGCTAATTTACTGCATCAGCTTATAAAGAGTTAAAACTCTTGTGAGGTTTGTTTGGTTTGGAATGACAGACCCAAGTTCTATACTTGTATTAGTATCCTAATCCCAGTAACCGACCCCTGTGTGTTGTTATGTATCATTGGGAATAAGAATTACTACTTTGTATTTTGTTTTAGGGGGAAGGGGGTATGTTCAACAATGTACATGCTAGCGATTTGAAGACTTTGAGCATCGTTATGCAGCTAATTTCATCATCTTTTCTATTGACTTGTTTTTCTGAAGAGATTATGCCATCATGTACTCATAAGTCAATAAAATTCATTGCATCCATGTACTAAGAATCTCTTCAGAAAATTATTTTTGGTAATCCCCATGTCAAAATTTGAACTCGAGTTCAATGGAAGGATTAATTTTGAATTCACCTTTACAAGACAATGAGAATTCAAGACTTGAAATACTAGTGTCCTACCATAGAAGAGCATCACTGGTACTCCTATCTAAGAAAGCAAATGATAGAATAAGTAATGATGGAAGTTCAAATGTGCACGAACGACTTAATGAAAATATTAATTGGACAAGATGATAAACATACAGTTTTTTCTTTAAACTTTTACATCCATACACACTTGTGTCTTTGATGTTACTGCTCGCTCATATTCTTATACTTTTGATCCTTGAAGTGTTTCCAAAATATGTTCTATTCTGTACTTCATGACTGGTTGGCCTGATTTGGTTTTCTTGAACATTTTCTCCCTTAGTTCTTTCCTTCGAGATTCAGCTCTCTGCCTTTCTTCTTTCCTTGCTAGAATAGTGGCCTCTGTCTCCATCCTTGCCTTGTCATCCTCCTCGCGTTTTCTCTCATATACTTCTCTTAGGCTTCTAGCACTATTCTTCTTATTTCTTCTCCCTTCTTCATCCTGATATAGCAATTGGAATTAGAATGAACCAACATTTTTCTAGTTGCAATTTACCACGTTTTGGATTGTTACGAATGGAAATAAAAAGAGGAGATGGATAAATGACAAACCTCTAGTTGTCTTCCAGAACCAGAACCAGAAGGCTCTCCTTGTTGCTGCTTAACTATCCTCTTATATTTATTTACATATTTGGCGTTCTTATAGAACTCCCTTTGCTTTTCTGCACAAAAAGAAAAGCACAATTACAGATACAACATATATGCTATGCTATTAGAACCAACTGTTTCAGACCATAGATTCAGAATCGGCAGAGTTATTTTTTCGGTAAAAGCAATAATTTAATTCCCCAGTGTCGTAAGAAATACTTATGATGGCAGGGTTGTAAGTGTTGGTCTTGATTTTGGCGTTTGCAAATGCTTCCAATGATAAGCCTCCTCTTCCTCCTCCTAATCTTTGCATATTCTTCCTCTTATCCTTGAAACATTTTGCTTTCTTCTTCGTTTCCGTCTCACCCGCCTTTACCATTTTCTTCTTCATAACGCCAAAATTTAGGATCTCAAACCCTAGTTTGTTCAGTTGGAGTCGAATGAACAAGACGATGATGAGATTTTACGTATTTCACCCTCCACGAACCGAGGCCCATAAGGCCCAAAGCTCCTCCTATCACTTTTGCCTTATTTTGTGTACGAAAATATAAATCCCTAAATTCAATTGTGGAGGAAAACCCCATGCATTTATTTTTAAAATATAAATCGTGTAATTAAATGTATTTTAAGGACAGCCCGTGTATCAAGTAAAAACTAAACTAGTGGGGCAGGCGTTAAATTATTTGGGAATTTTGTGAAAAACATACCTATATGTGCCGTTTCTAACAATATTGTTCCAATTTATTTATTTTTGAAAAACTTTTTAAAATGACTATAGTTTAAAATTAATTAGAGATCTATAGTTATAGTGTGCTTAATTACAAATTATAGCTTTGAAGAGGAGAGAGGCAAGAAAGGTGCGAGAGGTAGAATACTTGTTGTATTTATTGTATCAACCATCATACAATTGATACAACTAATTTGTATTCAAATGAATACAATTATACCAAAACTTATTGTATTTAGCTACATATTAGGAGGAGAGAGGCGAGCAAGGTCGAGAGAGGGAGTAGGGAGGATGAATACATATTGTATTTGTTGTATCACGAATACAATTGATACTGAATACAAATACAATTGATACAAAATACAAATATAGTTATCTAAATTCAATTGATATAAAATACATATCTTTCACTTAAGTTTGATTGAATACAATTGATACATAGTACATTTGATAAAGTGGATGGAATATATGGAGAGGGCACTGGAAAGAGAGAGAAGAGAAAAAACTGTTATAAACCTCTACATATAGCTATGAATTATAAACTATAGTGATTTACATGTTTGCCTAGTATAATCTCCCCGTTATTTATTGATCGATTTGCTACTGAAATGTTCAATTATTTTGAATTTGTTGTGGGTCCCTAAGGAAAGGTTGGTCATAAATTTGGAGAGTTTGCTTCTACAAGACCTTCGAAAACAAATATTGGACCGGAACCTCTTCAACAATTACCTAGTAACTTTGAAAAATGAATTTCCACTTCAATTAAATATTTTAGAATCTTCTCTTTTCCACAAATCCACCCGCTGTTCTGCCACGGAGGTCCCCATCCCAAACCCCAAATTTGGTTCAGACGATGGAGTTACAGTAGAAGTGAAATGACTTGAAGGTGTCTCTGTGAGAAGCTGCACACATACGAACTAGATACTTGGAAGAAAGCAATTACTAAAGAGAAACCTTGTTCCCTTCAGTGTTATTCATCATTTTCTTAATCTGAGAGTCGGAGTGGAGCCAATTCTTTTTACTCTTTCTGAAAGTTTTCAATATGCAACAGAAAAAATGATGAGGTTTTATCCAAGGACTATCCCAGATTCCTTTGTACAGTAACACTGGTCGCTAGAAGAAACAAATCAAAAAGGAACAAGAACGCCTAATGTGAGAAAAAACACCACTTGAATCAAGCTGAGCATGTATGTCATTGGGGATCTTCGCAAGTACCAATCATGCGGGTGTTGTATGAATTACAATGCTTGCATTTGTGCCCAAGTATGTGAAAAAATGCTTTACCAGTACTATTGCAGTCATTGCACAGAATTGGAACCTGCAAAGTAAAAAGAGTACAACCTTATTTGCTATATTCCCGCTTAAGAACATCATCCTAACAAAAAAGTTCCTTCTGGAAAAGAAGAAGAGAGATAAAAACAGTTAAAAGACGGGACCAAACTGTAAGTTAAATCCTTCCACTCCTTACCAACATCCACAAGCAAAGCTCCAGGTCAAACCATCAAAAAACCCTCCATTCCCTGCTAATTAGTCCATTCCACTGATATACCATCCCCCCCCCCCCCAACACACACATACACCTCCCCAGCTGATCAAAAGAACTAGGGCAGAAAAAGAAAGTTTGAAAAAGTAAAAAGGGTCTCCAAGATCCCAATTCAACAGGTTGTAGTTTTCTCTGTTTTTTTTTATATAATCAGGAAGTTACAAAACTAAAAGTTTCTTATGGTCAATTTTCTTCAAATTCCACAGAAATGGAAACACTGGAATCTAAAATGAACAAGCATCATATAAAAGTAAAAATTGGCAACATACTGGAACATATTTTTTCCTCTTATTAGATACTCCATAGAAGATTTGAATGTAAGCAATTACAATCATCATAAAACAAGAAAGAGCAACATACCTCATAACGATATTCTTCAGGCATGGCTGTAGCTTCAATCTATACATAAGAAACTTGATCATCAATAAACAATCATAATGCACAGTGGTTTATATCATGCACTGAGATGTTCTATAACACTTGAGCAACAAACACACGAAGATCATATTGACTCAAAATATGCATATATGAATAAACCATGTAAAGTCTCTGCTTTCTTCCCCAGCCAGAAAAAAATATCTAAAACTTAGAATCAACCAATCATCCAGCTCGGTAAAATGCAGTCCACAGAGAGTTGTGTAGGTCAAAGGGCAATTACCACTAAACTGCAGTATGGTTAGGAACCAGCAGTACCAAAAAGTCACATCTCCCTCTACTCCCAAGTAAAAAAATAAAACAAAAGGGACAAAAACGACACCCGTCAAAAAAACTTATTCTCATATTATGACATGAGATAGCATTCTCGGAGATAATGATTTAGCATATCCAACTGGAACAGTTTGAAGATTGGTGCACCAGATTACGTTCCAATCAGTTCTCAACAGCCATTGACAGATCTACACATTTTTATAAACCAACATGAAATCCTCTTGAGGAAAAGTGAGAATCTCATGCCTAAGATCATTGCAACAAGGCCACTTGCATCTAGTATAGTATATCTATGCAACTATACTTGAATCCTTCTCAAATCATGCCATTTCACATGTTGACAACTTGTGATCGGTCTAACTTGAAGACAAGGTTTTGTCCCCTAGTTTCCTCTCTTTATTCGTCATAGGTTTTTCTAAATTTCTGCAATTGCACCTCAGAGTCTTCCATCTAGCATCATGTACATCTATCCCTAATCACTACACAAACTAAACTTGGTCAAAAAACTTCCCAGTTCATATCTTCAGATAACCTCAAATCTAACTTGTTACTGATATCTCTCAAAACCAATACCTAATGCTTGATCATGATCTGACCTCTTGTTAGCAAATTAACTGTCCTATGTAAACAGGTTTGAAGAGCGGTGACAAATTCGTACACCAAGATGTATGTGTTACTGACAATTGAAATAGGATTCCACAAACTATAACTCAAACTCAGATATACCATCACCAAGTAATTTATACTCCCACAACAAACAGATCTAAAACATGATACAACTTAATTTTCTTCGGACGAGATTCAAAAGTCAAACCATGTTTTGAAAACTCTAAACAGCAATGCACCTCATTCAGATGTGTTAGAATAGTAATAGCTATATACAATCCTATTAGAATAGGAAGAGGTTTATACAATCCTATTAGAATGGGATTAAGTTTATACAATCCAATTAGAATAGGAATAGGTTTATACAATCCTATTTAGAATAGTAATAGGAATACAAATACAAATACAAATAGAAATAGGAATAGTAAATAGTATCCTACTTGGTAAAGGACTGTATTCTAGTGTCTATAGATAGGGTCTCAATGTAATAATATTTTTTTCCTATATTTCTCACATGGTATCAGAGCCTCTACGATCTTGGTAGGGAATCAAATAGCTTCTGCTGCCGCCGGGCGGCTATTACCCATATATGTCGCCCGTCTGGCCAACGATTATGCTTTTCCATATTTAATTTGCGTAGCACCGTGCCATCTTTCCAGTGACTCTTTTTTCATAATTAATTTGTGTAGCACCGTGCCATCATTCCGGTGACTACTTTTTCATAATTAATTTGTGTAGTACCGTGCCATCATTCCAGTGACTACTTTCTCATATCTAATGTGTAGCACCGTTCCATCAATCCGGTGACTACTTTTTCATATCCTATATGTGTAGCACCGTGCGATCTTTCCGGTGACTACTTTTTCATATTTAATTTGTGTAGCACCGTGCCATCCTTCCGGTGACTACCTTTTTTTTGCATATTTGATTTGCGTAGCACCGTGCATCTCTCCGAACTACTTTTCATATTTTATTTGCGTAGTACCGTGGATTTTTTCTAACTACTTTTCATATCCGAGTTGCATAGTTCCATTCGTCTTTTCGGTGACTCCTCAAATCTGATTTGCGTAGGGTTGTGCCATCATTCCGACCCGACCCATATTATTTCTCTTTTCAATAAGGTCGTACCATCAATCCGACCTTTCCTATATAATTTCTATTTTCTAGTTGGGTCGTTCCATCATTCTGACCCTACCCATATAATTTTATTTCTTAGATTGTGACCACTTTCAGCCATCAAATCTAATACTTTGGCGTATGAGCATGTTCCATTCGGTGACTTTCTTGTTTAATATTGACTCATCTATTGATTCCAACATGATTCATATACTTTATACTAGATTTTGAGCACTTTGTTGCCAGGGGGAGTTTAGTAGCCTTGCATGTCAATTATGTGAGTCACTCTATGGTCTGAAACAGTCTTTGCAAGTTTGGTTTGAGAAGTTCAACACTGTAATTTTATTACTCCGTGTTTAATCAGGATTATGTATCAAATTCAATATTTCATGAGAAGATTAAGCACATTGAGATTGACCGACATTATGCATCAAATCCAATATTTAATGAGACGACAAGCACATTGAGATTTTTATTTTTTTTGAATCAGTGAAGACAAGCACATTGAGATTGACTGTCAATTTTGTGAAGTCGACTGATCAACTTGCAGATATCTCACCAAACTCCTCATCGGTTCTCATATTAATTACATTTGTAACAAGCTAGATACATATGATTTGTATGCACTAGCTTGAGAGTGTTAGAATAGTAATAGGTATATACAATTCTATTAGAATAGGAAGAGGTTTATACAATCCTATTAGAATAGGATTAAGTTTATACAATCCTATTAGAACAGGAATAGGTTCATACAATCCTATTTAGAATAGGAATAGGAATACAAATAGAAATAGGAATAGTAAATAGTATCCTACTTGGTAAAAGATTGTATTCTAGTGTCTATAATTAGGGTCTCAATGTAATAATGTAGAAACAACAACAATTCAATAATATTCTTTTCCTATATTTCTCACAAGATACAAAAGGCACAAAACAAAGAAAAATATATACATGTTAATGCTTCAGTCCCACATCCCACACTAAAATTACTGGCTCTCCATTCTCTCAGTGACAAAACCCATGCTTTTAAACAGCAAATGTAGGATTTGAACTTCATGGGTTTGTGTTTTGTCTCTCAGTAAAAAAGTGACTCTAAAAAAGTTTCAAGAAAAAAACAGTATCTACATTTCTCGTTTCTCAAATATTACTTCCTTAAAATAAGGTTTGCCCTTAAAAAAAAAATCGAGGCAAAATCAGTAAGCCAAAAGACTGTTAGAGCAAAATCAACTTCACTCCAGAAAAATGCCAAGGAAAAAAGGGATCGACTTAGATTTCTCTCTCTGTCCTTTCAACCTCTTATCAGTTTAAGCTATATCAGCACTGGATTGGAGGATAGCTCACATGCTGTGAGCCCTTCAATCTTCACCATGTGGTGAGGGATCAAATCACACCTACGTAATAATCCCCTCCATCCCCCTATCCCTAAATAATTAGTTTAAATTATACATATATCAGCATATACCCTTTTTTTTTACTGGATGTATGTATGGTGGATATTGCTTGTAGCGAAGTACAAAAAATATATTATGGAAGAACTTTGTAGGGACTAACTAAAAAGTAAAATAACATCATACCTCCATATCTAATCTTTGCCAAGTTCCGGACATGTTGAGAACAGACTTAGAGCATATAGGGCAGCGATACCTATACAGAAAGGGGAAGACGAGTACAATATGTAAGTTAACCATACAGGCTGATTGGCATGAAGAAAAAGAAACATAATAGTCATGTTATAGATAGAACTTTACTGGTTCTGATGGATCATCTCTGTGTAGCATTCCATATGCATTGTATGTCCACACTTCATAATTGTGGTGCCTTTCACTGAGTCGAAAAGAAACTGGACCGAACCATAAATTTACTATTAGGGTATAGTTCCAATCAAAACATATGAGCAAGTTAAGGCAGTAAAAGCCAAATGAAGAGTAGACTCAAACCTCATAACAGATGGGACAATGGTTCTTCATTGAGTTCTCCACACATAAGTGATTATCACGCAGCTCCACCGAATAGCAGGATCCTGTTGCAAAAACATCACGAAAGTAGCTAAAAGAGAAGTATTTCTAAAGCTTAACGCATCAGAAAAATAAGGAGACTTTGCGCATATGATAAAACATTAATTCACCTCTGATGATTTTTTATAAAGAAAATATTTATCTTCATCAAAAAAGAAAACATTTATTCTAATCTATTGAAATCCAGCAAACTTGGCAGGCATATGTTTGAAGCCTTGCAGATGTGTAGGAAGGAGAAAGAAGTTGTACAGATTAATCTTTTATGACCAAGGTTTATTAACATCTTATTATAATCTTTTATAACTAAAAGATTATAATGGATCACTGAAAAGACAAAGAACACTAATTGGTGACCTCAAGATGAGCGAGTTCCCCTTCCAGTTTTTGCCTTATTAAGACCAAGGTTTATTAACAGCTCAACTTTATCAGACTTGCAACTAAAATTCGTTCTTCGCCAACATGAATTTAGCATCCTCGGAACCTGCATCCTCCCATCTAAAAAGACTTACAGGACCTATAGACATGAGACCTTTTGAGTTAGAAATACTTAATTTACAAGGAAAATGTACTTATGTTCCTTTATCCATTACAAGGATATGCCTGACTGGAACATACCACAACCATTATTATACAAATTTGGAAGTTAAAAGAAACTTGTACTTGACCACACATCATCAATAAGATTCTCCAGAACCATAGAGCGGCCGAGGAATCAAGAAAGAGAGAGAAAGGATTCAACCCTATTGAAAGGTTTCCTCTCTATTCTGTTAGGATGAGCAGTTATAGCTCTTTGACTTCCATTATCCTTATTGGTTTTATGTTATTTTATTTCATTGATATAGAGATGCATGTCGTGGCAGATCCAAGATTTTAAGGCCGTGGGTGCTCTCTTAGCTAAGGTGGCGGCGACAAATATAAAATGTAAACACACGAAAAAGCCAAAGGGGGTTCAACACACACACACACACACGCACACGCACACGCACACGCACACGCACACGCACACGCACACGCACACGCACACGCACACTATATATATATATATATATATATGTATATATAAATTTTACCATATATAAACAATGTAATTTTTTTGTCGTCTACCTAGCTCCGAACCCACTTAGCTACCAATCAAAAAATGCAAGTGCATAAATTTACACTTCGTCATAAAAAAGACAATCATATTTGAATATCATAGCTAAAAAAAAAAAAAAATTACAATAAATATTATTTTGAATAAAGAAAATAGGAAAAGTAGCAAAACGACAAGTGAAAGAAAATAGAAATACAATCAATATAACATAGGGAGTAAGGAAGAGAAGAGTTGGTTTGTAAAAAATTTAAAATGTGCCGACTGGGAGTCGAAACCAGATGCAAAACATTACAAAGGACCTTAAGCACCCACAAACAGCCACTGCGCCAATCAAACAATTTATTCTATGGGTGCTCGTTGTTTACTTTTATACTATTCCTCCTAATTTCTATCTAAATATATTTAGTTGGATATGAAGTTAATGGGTGCTCGAGCACCCGGGAGTCCCTATGTGGGTCCGCCCCCGTGCATGACGCCAGTAGACAGCTATGAGATGGTAGATGTACAAAGCAATAATATAGTTGTACAAGATTAACCTTCCAGTTCCAAGGATATCCCTTTATTACCATATTTCTATCTAAGACTCAATGGAAAGGGCATTTGAAAAGTAAAATTTCAGAAAGGAACTGTCAAATGAGAAAAGTACACTTCCACAATACAGTTTTAGAACAAGCTATAGTTGAAAAGAATCACTAGTTGAGAACTTGAGATATAATCTACACCTTTCTTTATAAGGTAAGGGTTGAGATATAAACTACACTATTCAAAATTAAAAAAGAAATCGATCCATTTTGATACAAGGAAATCCACAACAGTAGTCAAACAACAAGGAGGAAGGGATGCCTTACCACACTTCTTGCAGTGGAAGAAGTTTTCTCGACCACCGACCCTGTTTCACCAATTACGTATATAAGTACCACAGGTGACATAAATTGTTGTTTAGATAGTTGGAACGAGTAAGGAAGTGTAAAGGCAGAATGGAGGCTGAATACAATATTATTTAGTGCATTCACCTGCAAATTCCACAGTCATCACAGTGAAACTGCCCCTTTGTTCTCTGAAAGAAAAGTAATTACTTAAATACAAGTGCATCAAATGAATTAAATATTTATTTGGTTACTCTAGCATCCAAAAATAGAACAATCTAATTTAAGAGAAAGATAAAATAGTAGCATTACATTGTCATCGTAAAATCTACAAATTTCACAATAGTACTCCCCAAATTTGACTCCACACTCTGAACAGATCTCAGCAACCTATTTAACACAAGCCAGAAAAAAATTATCACAGACTATAACGGCTGAAAAGTCCATAAACTTGAGACACTCAAATGATAGATAAGTGTAGCAACAGAGCTTAACAAACCTGTTGTTCAGTGTCGCATACAGCACAAACAACCTGTAGCAAAAAATGAGATCCAACATCAATCCCCATAAAAGTTCCGAGTATTCATGAACAATCTTATCATCTGAGGAAATCAATAATATGAGCTTTACTCGTACTTGCTTAACATTGTGGCGCACAAGTTCGTGCCGTTCCTTGGGATTGGTCAAAGCATTCTGATTCCAACAAACACAAGCTTCAGTAAAAACAATACACAGTTTATAAAGCAAGGAAGGTCCATTTAACGTTTTGAAATATGGAACTGACAATAGTAAGGCCTCTTACTATTATAATGAAGCAATAGCACCAGACCATTACAGAAAGCGGAAACTAGTTAGTATGTATGTTGGATCCAGAGAATCCCACATTAAGGGCAAAAGAAAAAATGAGTGTTTGTCCATCTATTTCCAAATAAAATACTTGTGTTTGCATGTGATAACTGGAAATTGGTTGTTCATAGATATTATGGATGGATTTTGCCTGCGACTTGTTAATTAAATTTTACTATTTGGGACAGCTAATTAGCAGCAGGACATATATGTAAAGACTAACCGACTGTTTAGGTTTTCCAAATAAGGATGGAGTATGTTCTACTTCAAAATAAGTGATAAAAGGGCTCCGGAGCAGTGGCTGTTGTAGTATTTTTATAAGAAAGCAGCAAGCACCTTGGCCTCGTTGTGGCAGTGACGGCAAGTGAAAATTTCATTGCAACAAGGGGCTCGGAGTTTACAGCGTCGCCGATAATGATCACATCTATTTAAGGGACAGAAAATATGAATCATTATACAATTTTGACAGGAAAATTAACACAAAATGGTGTATGCATAATTATGTACCCATAAAGCAACTTTCCGACATCTTGTCTATGGAGCTCCTTTTCGGTCGGCGGCGGCGGCGGTTGATCGACGACAAAATTGTCACCGTCTTCTTCCATGTAGAAGGTTCGAGAGTGGTGAAATTTGGTTGCGTGTGGGCAAATGGTGCAGTATATATCAAGTATTTAAGGGTGGGTTCAAGATCCACTACCAGGGATGGATGGCTGCTCAAATTCATACTGGGCCCATTTAACATAAAACTTTACTACAGTATAAATTTATGTTTGTTAAAATTCATTAATCACACTATAACTATTGAAATTAATTATAATTAGGACTTCTTCATATTCATTTCATAACATTCTATTAAATTTTACTCTGAACCCGCATTAAGCTCTTAGGATTAAAGTGATTGCTCAACTATTCACAAATGAACCGTACGTATTGGCAAAGGTTTGCAGGATGGTTAGGCATCAGCGAAGCAGAACTCTTAGAAGCTTATTAGTCGAATGTTGGAATTTCTAAGGCCAAAAATTATGTGGTGGCATAAATCCTTAAAATTATGCCACCTATAGTGATATGGGAGCTACAGAGGCCCAGGTGTTGCTCCAAATATGATTCAGAAAAGCTTTCTATCAACTTGCGACATTCTAATCACTTTCAACATTTGTCAACTTATCAAAGCTAGCTAGATTCAAAAGCATCCAAAGTGAAAGTTGATAAGACATTTGTTTGATTTTTGATAAAAAAAATATGGCTAAGAAGATCGTCAGAGTGGTCAAGTGGATTAAACCCTTATCCCCTGTTCTTAAATTAAACACCGATGAATCTTGCATTAATGGAACTTGTGGTGGGGGAGGTGTACTTAGGGGATTATCGAGGAAGAGTTAATGGTTTGAGTTCTATCATTGCTGAGGCAGACTCTTTATTGTTGCTTAATTGCAATATCGTTGTCTGAGCAATTCCCTGGAGAATCGAAGACATGGTCAAAGAGATAAAGAATCTTGTAGGCATATATGATATTCCTATTCAACATTGCTTTAGGGAAACTAATAAAGTTGTTGACAAACTAGCTTCCCTAAGTCACTCACTTACTCATGTACAAATCTAGATCTACTCTCACTTCAAGTGAAAGGAATTCTCTACATAGATAGGTGGGTATGCCCTTCCTCTAGTGCTTGTTTAGCTTAGATCTTGTGTGCACTCATGTGTTTGGTTTGACTGTGTAACCAAACTCGCAAGAAGGTATGGCCTAACCCTGCTTCTTCAAATGTAATTTCTTTCTCAATGGCAATATATATGGTATATAAAAAAATAAAAATAAAAAGATAAAGATCAAATACTCGGAAAGTAGGTAAGCATAGAGGGAGACTAAATAAATTCACCAAATTTCTCTTTTGTTGTTGAATTAAGCAGATGGTAATTGAGGAAACTGTTACTGTCAGTGGCGAATTTATGTGTAAAAATTGGGTCACCCGAACCCGTGGTCCTTCGACTAAACTCGATATATTACTTGTATAATTATTAAAGAACATATTAAATAAACACCTGTTGAACCCGTTCTTAAAGTTGTTGGATGGTTCACTGGTTTGACAGCCAGATTTTAACACCAAGGTCCTGAGTTCAATCCTAGCCAGCCCCATTCTACTTCTATTTCTTTTAGTAACAAATAACACTCGTTTTTTCAAAAAAAAAAACGAAATTCTAAAGCAATGGTGCACCCGTTTTCTTGAAATCCTGGATTCGCCTCTGGTTACTGTACTACATTGTTTGCAGTATAGGCAAGGATATAAGTATATCATTTAATTTGTTTGTTGTTATTATATATATTGATAGATAGAGTAATAAATTAGGTTGAAATATATATAACTATGGGGTAGAGAGACATGATTTCAACAGCTGGTAGCATTTTGATCCAGTTCATGAACGTATAGTATACATTTTCCTTTCCCTCCGAATCACGATCCAGTTCATGAACGTACGTACACATTCACCCTGGCCGAGCAAGCTCAACATCCATCATTACTCCATTTTCCACTTTAATTTTCTCATACATGAAAAAACGATTCTTCAACTTGGACTCTATAATTTATAACAAACCAAAAAATAATCAGCTTTATTTAGCTAGCTCCATATATACATGCTAGCTACTGCACATCATATTCCACAAAACATACTTATAAGACATTTGAAAGTTAAGTTTGAGGTGGAGAAAGTAGAGCCATACAATGAAAGTGAGAGTGATATGATTTTCATTTGATTCTCTACTCCCAAGACAAGAAATATCATTGGATTAATTAATTTGTGCCTCTTTTGAAAAGCCTGAGTAGAAACATGCGATAATAAGAAAGAATTATAACATGTCAACAATTGGTGTGGCCACAAAAAGACCTGCACAATGTAATCCTAAACTAAGCTTAATTTCCAGTGCACTCGTCCGATTATATATATGTTTATAATCACCAACCAATGTATTGGAAGAATTTCTCAATATTCTTGTTTAATTGGACTCTCAACACTGGGCCATTACACTCTAAAAACCTTTGCCACTACACTAGACAATAGATATAGGTTAAAGTCTCAAGTATCGGATTATTTATATATAATATAACTACTCCATTATTTTTACCGGACAGAAGGGTGTTCAGTGAAAAACGAATCATTGATTGTAGTAATGGGAGTGGTCCAAGTCAACATTGCAAGTGTTGTGGGGACAATGACCCAATAATAATTCCAACATATTTAGAGCTGGCAATTGGCTCTTTACTCTTCGCAATACAGCCTCCCCCCCCCCACACACACACACCAAACAAACCACTAATCTGTAACTATTAACTAAATTTTTCTGATAACACAATTGTACATTTGACATCTCTCAGGTCTGGACCTTTTCTTGTTGACACATTAAAGATTAGGGTATGGTGTTGGTTCAGGAATTAGAAATGTAGTAATTAATTATGTAAGATTTAGTTATTCCACATTTCACACCGCACCTAAAATAGTACTATTGAACAAATGGTAATATTTTCTGTTCAAAAGGAAACCTACTTGTGCCATGAACAGGTTAAGATATTATTGTCCACATTAAACCATTTATAATTCAGGGGTTGCACGGACAATATAGAAACACCAAAGCATAAGATTTACACAAAGATGTGGCGTTTAAGTGACAATCAGGAATATCAAGGAAAAAAAGTGCACGGCTGAAACATTTACTGAAAGGGGAATTCAAGTGCCACCAACTTCTGAAAAAAAGTGGTGATATACTAACAACTGCACAAGTTGCCTACTCAGGCAAAGGTCAAAAAAATATCGCTGCTATTTCCTTGGCTAACAATCAAATCCAGCTGTACTCACTTCCATCTAGTGCCAAGAGAAGTCAATATCACCAAGGTATCAGCTTGTTGCCTCAGGCCAAGTACTTGAACAAGTTTGGGTTCTCTTTGTCTCTTTCCAAGTAGTCACGAGTGATAAGATCTTCAATCCTCTTTTTGATTGCTTTGAAATCAGGCTACACAGAAATTTTACATTATTTTTCGACACGTACAAGAGAAAATTCAATAATTAGAATAGACAAGCTAACACATCTCTCCAACTAGAGCCTATAACTATTTTTCAGGAAAAATCATTTGAAGGCAGAGAAGAAACTTGAGAAGGGAATACGATGAAATATATTGGCACGTTTGGGTTACAAAGATGACACCTCAACAGAAATTCCAGCACTCTGCATATCCTACTTTATATATCTATGGATACCTCTCTTAGTTTTGAGGTGGTCACACATTCCTCAAACTAGAGGAAATATACTGGAGGTGAGAAAAAATTTCAGGTAGTTCCTCCCGATACCTATGATAAAGGACAAGTAGTTGAATGGTTACTTATTTTGGACTGAATAACTCTCTTCATTTAAAATTTTGACCAAGACAGAGGAAGTTCAAAATACAACAAAAAAGATAGCTGGACACAAAGGAGTCAATATCCTCCTGTTACCCCTGTGGTCAACCGTCATCATCACTTCTCCATTTTTATTTTTATTTTGAATAGTCGGTACTAGGAGAAGCAAAACAAGTAATAACCATCTAAGATATTCTATCAGCAAAGCGATCCCTAGGACATTGATGACTTACTTTTAAAAATGAAAAGATGTTTTAAGTAACACGCAATTAGATAGCAAGAAAGAAAATGAAATGTCTGGCATGAAGCAACAACATTCCTCCATGTCAAATTGAATGTTGTGGTTATTAGGCAGACCAAAATCATGTCCTCTTTCCTAAATGGAATACCTAAACCGAGGAAATCCAAATGGTGAAGATGCAGCATACCTTAAACATGCGGCTCAATTGCTCAACACACTCCAACACGAGCTGCTGATGAGGAAGCACCTTCCGGCTCTTCATAATGCGCACAATACAAGCATCAATTGCATAACGTCTGTCCTTGTCAACATCCTCAACCACTTTTTTCCTTTCATCCACCGGAGGCAAAGGGATCTGAACGATACAATAAGATCATTGAGAAAAAGTGTCCACAAAGCATACACAAAGTAAGCATCACAGCAAAATACAAGTAGCTCTAAACAGTATCTATACCCTAATCCTCCTCATTCTGTCAGTGAACTTGGAGTTAAATTCAAAATGATCCGTTGACGAAACAGTTCTATTGCTAGGCTCTTTGGTCAGAATTTTATACTTGGCACATGACAGGGATTGAAGCAATCTGATCAAGTCATCGTCAGCCAAATTTAACTGACTTTTGATATCTGAGTAACTCAATCTATCTGAAGCATTAAACAGTAATAGAGCAGCAGCCTGAAAATGAGGTCATTAATCAGTAACCATATTTGGTATCAGAACAGCGATGCTGCAGCATAACTATTTCACAAACTGATCACCTGGTAAGTTCCCACAATAAGTTCAATAGTTTTTGATTCAAACTTGCCATTGATATTGCATGTACCCAGTGAATAAATCCAGGTCAATTTCCTGTGTTTCGTTTTCGTCTGATAAAATTCCTTGAAGACTTCTACACACTTCACCTGAGATACCAACAGAGGAGTAAAACACCCATAAAAAAATAAAAATAAAAAAAGGAAAGATCAAATCAGCAGCAGAAATTGAATCATTATATCAGATGAGAAGCAGATCTC